ATATTTTATAATTATATTTTATGTATAGTGTATAAAATAGCGTAAAAAAATAATTTTAATACATATATTAATTTGGGGAAGATTAATATGTGTAATATTTTATATTTAAATTTTTTAGCACGCTCCATATACTATTAACAGTAATGATTTGAACGCTTTATGCTGTCTCTCTGTTGTAAACATATTATTTATATAATAATTTCATATTTTTAATATTTTATTGATAACGAGATACGATTAACAAACTTTATTGCTTGAGGAAATATGCGCGACAAATGGGAATCATTATATTTGTGTTGTTGCCGTCACGATGCCATCAATTATTATCATGTTGCTAATAACATAACGTATCGGTATCACTGATCGTCTGCTTCTAAAATTTTGTCAATGATTGCTTGTAAGTATAAGCTCTCGTGTTGCTGTATTCAATAACGCGTTTTACTTTGATGTTATATAAGAAAGGTATAACAAATATATAACGACATATGCAATGCATTAGTTCGCTCAATATGATTAATCAGGCTTTTTTATCTTGGAATGTATTGTCAAAGATAAATCACTACTTCACAATACAACTGATAAACATAATTTTTTTGTTAAATGAGATTATAATTATAATCAGTATCTTACAATCTCAGTATTGTATCATAATCATATCTTTTCAAGATACGCAATTAGTTTGATATAATTCATATATTCCAGAGAAAAACCTTTAAGTCTTACCCTACACATATTAAAATGCATTATGTTTTTATTGATGAAAAAGTATTTTATCCATTCATCAAAAATAAAATTTTAGTTTTTTCTTAAAATGTTAGACAGAGGATTTGAAAATATCAAATAATTTAAGATATTAAAAAACTTGACTAAAAATAAGCAACATTTTTTTCTACAGAAAAATGCAGATTTCAATAATTATCTATTTTTTATTTTAGTTTTGTATTTTAATTTTTTAATTTTAATATACGCAAATAGAAAATAAAACTTGTTTACACCGTATTCTTCAAACTATTATTAATATTTATAAATATATGTGACATCGAGATACAAATATACGTTATATAGATACTCAACAAGAGAAAAAAAGATACAAAAAAGGATCCAAAGTTTCCTTATATAAATTTTATTATTCATATTGTTGAAATTGAATATGATAAAAACAGAATAGTGATAAATGAATAATAACTAATAGAAATGTATGTATGGGTAAAGGTTATCGCGTTATTCACCAAAATTTGATTAATTTTTTTTTTTTTTTTTTTTTTATGACATGACACGTTTTCATTTGTTCCGTTGAATTTTGCATACTTTTTTTATTGTTCGTTATTATATACATATATAGATAACGTTTAAAATCATATCTTTTTATACAAGTTCTTTTGGTTAACTTAAAATCAATTTTTTTAAATAGCCTTTGATAGAACTTCAATTTAAAGTTTAATTAACGATATGTAATTAATTATTAAATATAACATATTCACTAAAAGATAAATATAATCAAATTAACTAAACAAAATATATGATATTTCTGAGATATTGTGCAAGATGTAATAAAACGAAATTGTTAAGTTTTTTTTTCGCAGATTATAAATGCAGAAAGTGGAAAAAATTACAACAAGTTGATTTCTTGAAGATTAACTGTTTTGAGTCGCATCACGTATGTGGAATACATTCACATTCTGCACATGCTATGAAGACAGTAAACCACAAATTTTTCTTCTGTTGAAATGGCAAATGATAATCGCCAATCTTGTTGTAAAATTGATTGACTTTTATTATATAAATTTCTTATTTTCGATGCTACGGTATTTTCTGTGTTACATTTTCCTAATTATAGATTATCGAATTCATGAACTGATTTTTTTCTATAATTTTAATTTCTATGATTATATTTATAATTATATTGTAAAAATAGATAAAGAATTGCAATCTAAAGTAATAAACATATAATAATTGTAACTGTATATCGCGTAATTATATATAACAAAAGAGAGGTTCTCATCTATATATTATATGTAATGTACCTATTGATAATAAACGCATACGAGATCACATTTACATAAATAGAAATACAAAAATCATCAGAGAAATATCTATTAATTCACGCACACGCGTATGAACCTATCGTATTTATACACGATGAAACAAGACGTAAAAGGTAGCGAGTCCTCCCGGCACTATGGTCGTTGGTATACTAAATGGAACGTGTTGCTTCGGTTGCACCTTCACTTCGGACTGATCGCCGAAGCCCGAAGCGCCGAACCAGCGAGAACGTATCTTGTTACAAATCGTGTGCATGTATATGTATGGATATTATATATACCTTCAGTATCTAACATATGCCCGCATACGTCGCTAAAATTTAAGTTTAAATTTTACTAAAATAAACCACCTCTGAAATTAATTCCATCTGAATGTAGTTGTGTTAATCTTTTAACTTTCCACAAAGTTTAATTTTTCTAATCTAATGCGAGAAATTTTTCCCCCAAAAATTAAGTGTTTTTTAATAACCGATTCTCTGGTCAATTTAGAAATAATTTTTTCTCAAAGAAAATGTTCAGGTATTAATAATTTCCGAGTTATATGCAATTGAAAAAGAAGTCTTTTCGCAACTAAATTTTTAGAAAGAGAAAAAGAGATGGTTTTAGACATTCTGCGTGTGTGTGGGTGCGCGCGCGTGCGTGAGTATGCGTGTGTATGAATACCACGGATCTTTTAACTGGTAATACAAGCAGGAAGGGGAAATACTATATGAAACAAATTAGTTAAAAATAAAAGAATAAAACTTTTTAAAACAAAGCTTTGTTTCTTAGAAAGCCAACTAGTTATTGTCGACATAAGTAAGGGCCGTGGCACATAGAAAAACTTAAGCAGTAAGACTTAAGACTTAAGAATTTCAACCATACGGAATTTTCAGCGTAGCTTACGTTTCAATATGGCTGCCTTACTGTTCGACCGTGATTGGTCAATTCGCTTACGTCTTAAGTCTTACTGCTTAAGTTTTTTTATGTGCCACGGCCCTAAGCTACCAGAACAGATACAAAAGAAATCTTGTTGACAATGCGTGCAGAAATAACATAAGTAGGCCGTTAAGACATAGAATTGTAATATTGCAAAATGATACGTATATATTTGAATTTTATATCATATAGATAACTTGCATTATATTATTTGTTTTTTCCACATTATATTACTGCAACAATGTTTACTGGGTGGATAAGTGCACGCACACCTGACAAATATTCAAAGTTGTTTTTCTAAAAAACGAAACCTCCTAATAAAAAGTTTTATTCTACATTTTCTATACTTAAGTAAACTACATCTTATATACTTACAGTTCACTCAGTATATAATACATATATGTATACTGGGTATCTCGAAATTAAAAAATAATAAAATTGCAGCATAAAAGTTCGTAAAATAATAAGCAATAAAAGTATTTTTATTTCAAGCAATAATTTTAGAAATTATTAAAAGTTAAAATTAGTCACAAAATCACACTTTATAGAGAGTCGTCAGTTCGGGAATTGTACATGTATCACTATTCTAGCATATAATAACGGCAATAGGCTCAGAGTAATAACGATACTAGGTGAGGAGATTGGCAAATAAGAGCCGAGTTATTAGCGCAAATTTTTTGTTGTTTAATTTCACAAGTATGCATTAAATATGTACATTTCAGATCGTTTTTTAATCCATTTTCAGCAGATAAAAATGTATAGAAATTAAATTCCTATTCAAACCTTAACATGCGCAATATTATTTTTTACACTGGAAAATTAAAATTGTAAAAATAATAATAATATAGAGGCTCTCAAGATTAAAATCAAATATAGTATAAAAAGGCAGTCAGGGCCAAGCGCGGTAAACAGTTCGTAACGTGTTTATTATCAGTGATAAATCAATACAAAAAATATAAATTATGAGTAAATTATGAGTAATTTATATTTTTTGTATTGATTTATCACTGATAATAAACACGTTGCGCACTATTTACCGCGCTTGGCTCTGATCGCCTTTTTTCTACTATATTTGATTCAAAATTGTAATTGGTAAGTGATAAGTAACATTGAAGGATGTCTCACCGAAACCAAAACAAGTAGAGTCTGTGCCAGTTAATCGATAATGTCATTGATACGTGTGTACCCGTTGGTGATCCAAACCACGTATTCACTTAAATCGTATAAAAATATTATATAAATTTTAGATCACATACACAAGTAATAAATCGTTCTTTATATTAATGAGAAACTTATATATATATGTTTTATAATATAATAAAAACAGAATAAGTTTAATCGTTTTTATTATATGATAGTCATTACTATAGATATGCTATACAGAGTGTCCTAGGAGAAAAGGTCAATATTCGGAAGGGTAATGGTATTGGTCATTTTAAGCAAAAATGTTTATATGAACGACTGTCCTATTCCAAATGGAATAGAAAATCGTTACACGCCATGTTCTCACAAGAGCTGATAAATGCATTGATGTTGACTGTGAAATTTTTGAAAATTATAAACTGTAAAAAAATGTGTCACTTGAACAATAAATTAGAAACAGTATACGTATAGTTATCTCTTTCTTATCAGTAATTTTACAACTGTACATTCAAACAGCTCTATCTCGGAAACTGAAATAGGACAGAACTTTGAAATAGGACACTCGTTTATATAAACATTTTTGCTTAAAATGACCGATATCATCACCACCCAGAATATTGATCTTTCCTCCTAGAACACCGTATATATCGGAAGCTAACCAAGTACTCTTGACATCCTACAATACCGACGAATTATTGTGCTATATGGAATATAACTACAATGTAATATACCGTGTTCCAAAATTCACTGTCAGTACTGGAAATCTATAATATACGTTACGTGAACTATAGATTTTCAGTACTGGCAGTGAATTTTGAAACACGGCTACATTATATTACAAATGTGACATCTATGAGTGGGAAAAAGTACAACTAGTATATAACGTATATATAATTTACATATTAATTACATGTTATATAAGAGCTATATAAAATGTTTGCTAAGAAGAAAGATATGAAGATCTATCAAACGTATCACATAATATACATATATACATATAATGAATACTTACGAACCAAAAACACGATAAAATACAATCAATTCCGATAATAACATGGCCAGAAAAAAAAGAACACAATTTTTAAAGCGTCTAATTCCTGCAAAAAGATGCATTTTAAAAGATTCGTCGTAAAAGAAAGTTTACAACGTGTACATATAGATTTGCCGTTATCGCGTGCAATGTAATCGCAGGTCATATACCGGAACAGAGTTTCACTTTACTCGTTTTAACCGCATTTTCTTACACTATCTGTACTTAAAATAAGAATGGCTATACATACAGACTGTCCCACCGAAAGCGCCCCCCCCTTTTATCTTTTAAACTAAAAGAGATAGACCGTAACAAATATATATCAAATTAAATGGTTTAAATTGAATTTTATTGTGAGCATAGCAGTTGCTTACAAA